ATGAGAAGTGTCTAAGACACCCTCTTAAACAAGGAGTGATTATTCCTTCTTCTGAATTCCCATACATTTTATTGTACCTCTTATTGGTTTCCTGTATCATTGACTAGAAGCTGCTAGTAACTTGTATATCTTTGTACGTTTTGCAACAACTAATATTAGGTATTCACCGTGTATTGACTAAAAGAATTGTGTGTGCAGTATATGTCCATTATAATAAGCGTAAGCTCAGTGATGCTAGGAACTTGGTTTTCTGGGTTTTTTTTTTGTTTGTTTGGTTTTTTTTTGCAATATTGGGAGTTGAGCTCAGAGTCTTTGTACTGAGCTATCTTCTCAGCCCTTTTTTTTTTATTTTTTATTTTGAGATGGTCTTGCAAAGTGCCCTCAGTTAGGCTGAAACTTGTGATGCTCCATCCTCAGCCCCCCAGAGTGCTACAGTTATAGGCATGCATCACAATACCCAGCAACTTATTTCATTTTCATTCTGTATCCCCAGCACCTAGGAGTCGTCTAATAAACATTTGGCAAATGAAATACAGTTACCAGTTTTTGGGATGTAATTTTCTGATGGTATAATAGATATGTGGAAATACTTTGTTGTACTATTTTAAAAATTCATATGTATATTCATATTAATAAATACCCTAGACAGACATAGTAGCAATTCCAGCACTCAGGAGGCTGAGTGAAGAGAATCACAGTTCAAGGCCAACTACATAGCAGGACCCTGTCTAGGAAAAAAAATACCCTATGATAAAAGTTGTACACTAGTAGACTTACTTTACAGAAGAGGAAATTGTGACTTAAATTAATTGTAGCACTCTGGAGACTGAAGCAGGAGGATCACTGTGCCAGCCTGAATTACATAGCAATACCCTGTCTCAAAAAAAAAAAAAAAAAATCAAGTTATTTATTTATAATCACAGTACCAGTCAGTAATAGAACTAAATCTAAAATCCAGATCTTTTTTTTTTTGAGACAAGTTCTTGCTACATAGTTCACGCTGACCTCAAAGCAGTCCTCCTGACTCAGCCTCCCAAGAGCAGAGACCACAGATGTATGTCTAAAATTCAAGTCTCTCTCTCTCTTTCTTGAGACATGCTCTCATTATGTAGTTCATGTTTGCCTCGAACTTACTGTGATCCTTCTAGCTCAGCCTCCTAAGAGTAGAGACCACAAGTGTGTGCCTAAAACTCAAGTCTGTCTATTTTTCTTTCTTTCTTTCTCTATGGTGGCATATGCCTATATTCAGTCCTACTACTCTGAAAACTGAGGCAGGAAGATCCCAACGAGTTTTGAGGCTAACCTGGACTACATCTTACCCAAGTTCAAGTCCAGCCTGAATGACATAGCAAGCCTTGGTCTCACAAAAAAAAAAAGTCTTTGTCTTGAATAAGGTAGTTGGGCCAAAGGTTAGTTAAATTCTGTTAGTGTTAAAATTTTGTGGATTTTGTGGGGTAATGTATTATAGTCATGCTATATGAAATAGAATTAGAGGTGTAATTAATCTTTTGTGTAAAGTGCTGGATAGTTTAAAACTCAGACAAAATACAAAAAATTTTTTGGGGAAAAAAGTAAAATTTTAAAAAAACTTCCTTTGAGGGGGCAAGGCCAGGGATTAATCCCAAGGCCTTGCACACACTAGGCACGTGCCCTCCCACTGAGCTACCTACATATATCCCCAGCCCACAAAAACTATTTCTGAAGAAAATACTGGCCATGCCTGTGGACGCTCCTCCGAGGTGAGAGACTGTTGAGTCGCTCTTCCTTGTAGGCTCTGCCCCTCACTGGCTGTTAAAGTGTGGATCGGATTTCAGCTGGCAGCTCTCTGGCCCCCAGGGCTTTGCCAAGCTGTTTAATCTGGCGCTCACCACTGCACGGTATTCACAGAGGGCCCGGGCGGGTGCTGTGGCCAGGACGCCTCCTTGACACTCATGCCGTCCCCTCCTCTGGTCAAGTCAGATGAGCAAGCCGAGCATCTAGTATCCACCAGCTCTCTTGTAAGACTGCCGCTTGCCCACTGGCCATTAGGCAGGATAGGAGGATCGCTATAAGAAAGAGTCCTATCAAACCATTCGATCTGTCTTAAGGGTACCGTAGGACGTTTGGTATGACACACCACTTTGTCTCACAAACAGTTCTTGAAGGGAAAAAAAAACTGTCTGACCCTAATACAAGGAACGCTTTTACTTCTCCTGAGAGTAACGTTGTTTTTACCTTATGGACATTGTGAATGTTTAACTTAACGCTCTCTGGTTATCTGCCAAAAAGCTTAGAGCCAAACTTGTGGCTCACCCTAACAAATGTGCTCTATGCCTCGTTAACTTCATTCCTGGCTCTAGTTTAGTTCTCTGCTCTAGTTATTCTGTCTGCTTAAAAAAACCTTAATTCATGCCATCTTATTTATATATAAGTATTTTTTCATAAGCAGCCTTATATATTGTTTCTTAAGTACTTCAGATTATGATAAGTTCAATGTACATAAAACCATGTTGGATCTTTTTGTTACTTCATCTACTTAAGCTTTTTTCTTTTCTTGTCTTGTCTTTTCTTTTAGTACCAGGAATCAAACTCACAACCTCATGCTTGCCAGGCAGGTGCTGTGCTGCTGAGCTATATTCCTGACCCTTAAGCTTTTTTCTTGAAGAGTATATTTATTTTTTTGTGTGGGGTTTAGATTAAATAAAAATGATTATCACAAAATTATAGTTTTAATGTGTAATCAAATGCTGAAATAACTGATCAAATAGCCAGAAATGATTAAACTGATGTCATAATTCTAGCCTTATCTTTTATGGCAGTGTTACTGTTTTCTTACAACAGGCATTCAACCAATGGTTTATTTGTTTACTTGTTTTGGTGACACTGGGCTTTGAACCCAAGGCATTTGTACTGAGCCTCATCCCTAGCACCGCCCTCCCCACTTTTTTTTTTTTTTTTCGAGACAGGGTCTTGCTATGTAGTTCAGGCTATCCTTGAACTCACTGTGTAGCCCAGGCTGGGCTTGAACTCCTGGCAGTCCTCCTGCCTCAGCCTCCCAAGTGCTGGGATTATATGCATGCACTACCATGCCTGGTTTGAGACAGGTTCTAAAATGCCCAGGTTGGGACTAAACTTGCAGTCCTGCCTCAGCTTTGCCCAGTGCTAGGATTACAGACATGTACCACCATACCCGGCACTGTGGTTTGTTTTATACTCCCAAACTGCGTGTAATAGTTCATTGCTGTGTGAATTTTAGAAATACTGTGCTGCGGGGGCTGGGGATTTAGCTCAACGGCAAAAGCGCCTGCCTGGCAAGCGCAAGGTCGTGAGTTCGGTTCCCGGTACCGGAGAAAAACAAAA